AATAAATAATATGTTATAATAATTAATAATGTGGTATATTGATTTTAATGAATAATGATGAATTATATTTATGAATATGAAATGGTATATGAAGAATAAATAATATAGAAATAATTGTGTATGATTAGAAAATAAAAATAAAATAAAAATGGAAAGAAGAATTAAAATGGAAAAGTATGGAATATTATGAAATAGAAAAAAAAAGTGGAATAAGAACAGTATACACAAAATAAATAAAAAAAAAGCAATTATGTCTACAGGAAACGAAACAATATAATAAGAATAGATTATAAGAAGATATAAATGAAGAAATACAAAACTATGTGAAATGATAAATAATAATATTCATAGACAAAATAATAGCAATAATAATCACAGTAGCAATACATTTAATAATTATAGCAATAGGAATTATAATACTAACAGTTATGGCAACAATGGTAACAATAAAAACCACGAGAAAAGTCAATCCACAACATAATAATAATGATAGTACAAATACTAATTATTAGAAGGGGGAAATATCTCTAGCGACATATCTAAATAAATTAATAACAACAGAGAAACTACTGACATGGGACAACAACATTTTTAAATTATAAACTTTACATAAATTACTTAAACTAAAAAAATTAAAAAAAATATATAAATTAATAATAGATTTAGTTTTCATATAAAAAAAAAAATAAAAATTTTCATTTGATATTTTACCAAACAATTTGGAAAATTTCGAATGTAAATTTGGGAACTTGTAATGGAAATGAATCATCCAGAATCTAAGAATAAAAATTAGTCAATAAAATTTATGTTTGTGTATAATAAAAAAAAAAAATATTTCATCCTGTACACTAAATTTAATTTGAGTTAGAAATGTCAAAGTAATTTGATAAGTCAGAGATATCCGAGGAGACGGGAATATTAATAAGAAGTTTCGAAAGATCCTACGGGAATGAATTTTTCGTGATAGAATATTTAAAAAAATTACCTAAATTTAGAGCCGCAGTACATTTAAAATTTTTAAAAAAAAGTTGTAATATTTAATAACAAATTAAAAATAGACAAGTTGTATATCACCTCAATTGTACACTTAAAGTAAACGGGTGAAGTTATATGGGGAATCTATTATAAACTGAATAGTGAGAATGCAGACATATTAGTCAGAAGTTTTTGGATTTGAAGATGATAGAAGAAAGGACATTTCACTGTGAGTAAACAGTTTTGTTATAGTGAAAGAGCATAATAGACAATTTTGTTATCACTAATTCAATAAACTATATTTGCTTTTAAAATTGAAGCTAAACTATTAGAAGATTAGAATTAAGTAAATTATTTATAATAGTTACATTTTGGAAAAGTAAAACGTCAAAATTTTTTTAATTGTCACATTGAAATTTAGTGGTTAGTAAGTGAGTATGGTGATGGATGTATGATTAGAGTAATTTAGTAAGTTAGTATATAGACAATTTTGTAGATTTTTCAGAAATTTAAACGTTGTTACAAATTACTTTTAATAAATTGGAACTTGTATTTACAATTCGTCTATATAAAAAAAATATTTTACAGGATAACACTGACGATGATAATTAAAAGCAACATATAATTTAATTGACTAATTAATATATAAACCACATCCTTAAGCTTAACTTTTTATATAGATTATAAAGCTCAATCCATCAAAATAAATAATTCAAGGTATCTTATTGTTAGAATTGTTGCTGTTATTATTTAATAAGGACCGATTCCACCGTTGTGTTAAACGGAGTCTAAAATGATATTTTTACATTAACAATGTCATTTTAATCTCCGTTTAACACAACGGTGGAATCGGTCCTTAATAAACTAAATAAACTAAATAATCTAAATAAATTAAAGAAACTAAACTCAACAAAATAAATAAATAATTAAATTAAAAAAAGAAATTAAGTTTATAAAGTATTTTATTTTTGGAACCGACACCATTGGGACAAAGAGAATCTGCTCTGTAAAAAAAATATTATATTAAAAAGCTAGCAAAGGTAAGATAAGTTTGTGAATTTTTTTTACTTGTGAGGTTATGTATTGACAAGTGAATATCATAACAATATATATATATATATATATATATATATATATATATATATATATATATATATATATATATATATATACTGTATTATGCGTCGTTCCCAAGCCCTGTCAATTATAAGACGACCTCAGACCAACCAGAAATATTAAGAATATAAAAACAAATGATGTCACTTTCGACATATTTTATGTCAATGAATTAATCCACATTGAGAGGGGTAAGAAAAAAACAAAATTAAATTATACATTCTGTTCAATAAACGATCACAAGCCATTTCAATTTGCCGCCTTCCCATGCCATCATATACTAGTCTTGTATATTTTACCGACGTTTACATACCCTGCGGCGTTGCCAATACCAATATTCAACAACCGCCCGATTATTTACACGAAACAAAAATGTTTTTTGTGTTATTGTCAAGTAATTAGATCAATGCTGGAGTTGTTTCAGATTTAGGATTGCGGGCCAGGTGGCCTTTCGCCCACCTCGTACTACTCAGATATTTTATGCTTAACTATTAATAATTGGTCATGGTACTTTGTCTAGTTTGATCTTTTGTACTAGACTGAATAAACTAGGTAGTAGCTTTCCGGTGTAGCTATTTTTTCTTCAATAGGGATACTTTCCTGACCGTAGTACCGTAGTATAATTTTAGATAAATAAAATATGTTTTAGTTTATCTGGTCATAAGTTTTTTATTTTATTTATTTGATAAGCTCAAAATATGTTTTGGAAAACACTTTTTTGCCTCTTCTGGTGCAGTTAAATAATTTTTAAAAACATGGGGACAAAAAGAATACTTTTTAAAACAGTTAAAGGCTTATCTTTTTGTTATACAGCAGGTGTATTCAAAATATTATAATTTGGTTTAACAAGATAGTATGGAAACAAAAATAAAAACTAAACATGTTTTTGTTTCGCTACTATATCGTGTTAAACCAAATTATAGTATTCCGAATACACCTACATACGCTGTAAAATAAAAAGATGTGACTTTAACTATTTTAAAATTTCAATTTTTGTTTGTTTTTGTCCACCATGTTCTTAAAATTGTTTGACGACACTAGAAGATGGAAAAAGTGTTTTCAGAAGCATATGTTGTGACTATGAAATAAAAAATAAATACTTTTGAATACATATAAAAATTTTTTTTCTTGGTTTTGCTTCTATATGTGTATGGAATTGCATCCTTCATATATCATGGCAGTAGCCCAATACTGCAGTTGCCTCCTCTTCGTGACATAATCGAAAAAAGGTGTCTTGCCAGTGCGAAGTTGTACATATTATGTCTTTTAAAACTTACAATGCCATGTTTATAGGACAAGTATTTTAGTACTTCTCCTATTCTTACTCAGTTTTGACGATGGCGCTTTTATTTTCTGACCTGCCTCTAACTTGGCGTTCCTGAGATTCATTGAACACCTGCTGCTTTGCGCATGATCTGATGGCGTTTTTGTAACACCACAAATGAGTGCTGAGCCCAGAAGCAACTTTTAGGCTACTTCTCGACCTTGTGCCCTCTGTGGCCTGGCACCTAGGGTAAGGTTAGTCTGTTTTAGGGATACCAAACAGTGCTTCATAGTATGTGAAAATACTTAATACCTCTTTTGCACAGTGTGTATTGTTGCTATTATTACCTGAAATATTGTCGCATGTTTACCTAGTTTCAGTGAGACAATTTTTTTTTATTGGTTTTGGAGCCATATGTATTGCAGGTGATTTCTGCGTGAATATAAACGCCTCCATTTCATGCTTCCCTGTTGGCTCCAAAATTTAAATGTTTATTTGATACTTTAGCCACTTTCACTTATTTATATATTTACCTTGAAATTAAACTGAACGTTTGTGTTAAGCTGTGTACAGACCGCGCCAATGAATGAAAACTAACATAATTGTCTTTTGGTTACCAAACATTCGTTGGCCATCGATAATACGTTGTTGTTTAATTAAAATTTAGTTAGTATTTGGCTACAATTGGTTTTACAATGCTTTGACAAATTATGTGCAGTTATTCAGAGATATTGGTAGGTCAAAAAACCTTTTAAATGCACAGCTAAAAATATTAAAACTGTTCGGATGTTACCGATGACAATTCAGAAATATCGATTTCAACAAAATTTAAAAATAAATAAAATTTAAAACCATAGCAGCTTTAAAGAGTTAATGAAATGACCTTTCAAATGAAGTATCACAGGCCCCTACTTCCAATTTGAGAATATAGGGGGTTAAAGATGTCATCTGAAGAAGATTAAATTTAGGGATGCCATTTTTACGTCGCAACATGTCATTTTAGAATTAGAAATTGACACGTCTTAAGATTTTTTTAGAAAAACGCATAATAATGGAGCTATTGGATTTATTCCATTTGGATGTTCCACGCCGTATTTAGTAAGTGTAATGCCAGTTAGCATTGCTTTGTTAGATACAAGTTTTTT